TATGTATCTTATCTTTTCATGTGAAACACAATATATATATAGGTACAAACAAGTGTACATAACTGAATGCTAAAAAAATGTCTATGGTATATGGACAAGTTTGTGTAAATGGGTATGAAATACATATTGAAATATGTGATATGTATACAGGTATAAAGTGCTGTATTCATACATGTGGGAGTGTCTGTAGTCGGAAATGTTGATTCAGAAGTATGGATATGCTACCTTATATAAGCTAGTGTTGATATATTACAATCAGCTGAGAACATGTTAATAACAAGTAGAAATATGATTGTGTGGTTTTGTATGTTGAACGTGACGTAAGTCTCACATCGTGTTGCATGTATATCTGTAGTCCTACAGGTAATATCTTTCACTTGTAATTACATATACAGATGAGTATGCATATAAATGTATATTAAAAACACACACACACACACACACGAAGTCTATTTCCTAGCACAGTTTCGCCTGGAATTATCTTTTTTTTGTTATTTTTAATTTGACAAGGATTTCGATCCTTCTTCCGAAAAAATAGATTGGAATACATACATGATCAGATCTGGCTTTGAGGTAATAAGTAATGCGTTCCAGTGTAGAAACGCACTTTCTCAATGTATTATTTCATAATATAGACGCTTCTGTCTTTGACTGTTACATGGTAGGTGTCGTCGATGAAGCAGAAGATGCTTACTTTTCCGGATAAAACAATTTTCACAATAACATCAAATTTTGGATTTCCATCTATTTTGTTTGTCCAATCGGACAGCAGGAAAGATATTTTAATGTCGACAATATTTAAAGATATCATATAGCAGAGTTCTTTAAAGTTACGTAATGTTCAGAAAATTGCAGATTCGTTACACCAAATCAAACAATCAAATCAAAGTTTGATAATTGTTAATGTGATAAGTGATAACAGTAAAATACGGCTTGTTCTGTAAACAAGGGAGTTAATTTCGATTTGTGTGTTACAGTCTGTTAAGCGAAATCAGGTTTTAACATCCTCCATTTTATATCTGTTGATATTCACATGTTTTACATATACTGTGTATAATTTCGTTTCATCAATTATATACTAAATAATATTTTATTTGAAAGATGCAAGATATAGCGAGGAAACATATCCTGAAAAGATATGTAGTGTTCTTGGAGTCCCAATCTGTTAACATGCCATTCTCTCAGCAAGATGTGTTGGAAATTGTGACATATATATACATATAATATATATTATATAATACATTAATACAATTACTATATACTACCACTCAGTGAAACACAAAACATCTAACATGTTTTACATGCATGTCACTTTTGTTATTGATTTCTATAAATTATACGCGGAAGTTAATTCTTTCGTTGACAGCCCGGGTAACCTTCGTCTATAAAAAGAACAAAACTGGACTGGGGACTCTCTGCCTATTGGATCATATCTTGGTTACACAAGGACAGCATAGATTCACTGTAAACTGTACACAAGGAAGGAGACAATGAATGGTTGTTGTTGGCTATAACAGTTACTGAGCTGTAACATAATCACTGAGCTGTAACATAAAAACGAGACAGTTTTGAAAGCTCAGAAATAATCTGTTTAACATAGTTCATCATTGATATACTCCTTATTCTATTATTTCTTTTCTATTATTTCGAATTATTTTGACAGTTTTAAGCCCGTCTAATATATAAATGTAAATACATCTTGTTTTGATATAGGAACTCAGTTTATGAAATCTAAACATCTAATGCTAACAAGTGTCTTCCAGCGATCGATCATCAGAATGTCCACCTATACAAAACGTGCAGTTTTAAGTTGTAGTTACCTGTGCCTTGGTTGGCATTCATCCATTTATTTAAATGGTTCACAAGGACCCATAAACTGCCAGCACTAAAGATATTATCTCAAACTTATATGATAGATCTCGTATTAAACGAAATATCCAATCACAATGTATCAGATGACATTCAATTTCTTATTTAACAGTAAATCACTGTTTATCTCCTATAGGATTTTTACCAGGAAGTACACGGGTACAAGGAAGGAGCCTGTTCACTAACATCACTAGACATTGGAAAATCCATTGTTATAGGTAAAAGTTTTCAAAAGGTTGTGAAGTTCATCTTATTTTAGATAAAGCATCAATTTATGTAAAACTCAACATAAATGATGACTAATTTTTGTAAAATATTTGTGACGCTAGAAAGGCTAAATATTATCCGTATTTATTATATTTCTAGCAGGATTTCGTGATAAAATCAGTAGGGAGTGCAATGAGATTGGCTGACCAAAGAAAATAGATTGATGTTACCGCCACTCCTTTGCCTTTGCGTCTTGTCAAATGAAAAACAGTGTGACCAACTTCGTTGCTTATTTTTTTTCTCATTTTCTGAGGTTATTGTAAATTGAATCATTAATAAGTCTTCGAAACTACATTTAATCTAGCATCGAGTGATCAAATAGAAATATAAGAAGTTAAGATATCGTTTTAAAATGTTATCGTTTGGCTCCATGTTGATGATACAAAACAGTTATAAGTATGGAGACCCTACGGTATCTGTCATTGTATGTTGATGATATAAAACAGTTATTATTATGGTGATCCTACGGTATCCTGTCATTGTATGTTGATTATATTAAACCGTTATAAGTATGGTGATCCTACGGTATACTGTCATTGTATGTTGATGATATAAAACAGTTATTATTATGGTGATCCTACGGTATCCTGTCATTGTATGTTGATGATATAAAACCGTTATAAGTATGGTGATCCTACGGTATCCTGTCATTGTATGTTGATGATATAAAACAGTTATTATTATGGTGATCCTATTGTATGTTGATGACATAAAACAGTTATAAGTATCCTGTCATTGTATGTTGATGATATAAAACCGTTATAAGTATGGTGATCCTACGGTATCCTGTCATTGTATGTTGATGATATAAAACATAAAACAGTTATTGTATGTTGATGATATAAAACAGTTATAAGTATGGTGATCCTACGGTATCCTGTCATTGTATGTTGATGACATAAAACAGTTATAAGTAAGTATGGAGACCTTCGGTATCCTGTATTGTATGTTGATGATATAAAACATAAGTTATAATCCTGTATTGTATGTTGATGATATAAAACAGTTATTATTATGGTGATCCTACGGTATCTGTCATTGTATGTTGATGACATAAAACCGTTATAAGTATGGTGATCATACGGTATCTGTCATTGTATGTTGATGACATAAAACAGTTATAAGTATGGTGATCCTACGGTATCCTGTCATTGTATGTTGATGATATAAAACAGTTATAAGTATGGTGATCCTACGGTATCCTGTCAGTGTATGTTGATGATATAAAACAGTTATAAGTATGGTGATCCTACGGTATCTGTCATTGTATGTTGATGACATAAAACAGTTATAAGTATGGAGACCCTACGGTATCTGTCATTGTATGTTGATGATATAAAACAGTTATAAGTATGGTGATCCTACGGTATCCTGTCATTGTATGTTGATATAAAACCGTTATAAGTATGGTGATCCTACGGTATCCTGTCATTGTATGTTGATATAAAACCGTTATAAGTATGGTGATCCTACGGTATACTGTCATAGTATGTTGATGATATAAAACAGTTATAAGTATGGTGATCCTACGGTATCCTGTCATTGTATGTTGATGATATAAAACCGTTATAAGTATGGTGATCCTACGGTATCCTGTCATTGTATGTTGATGATTATATATAGCGTATTGCTACGATTTGTGTGATGACATTGTGACATTTGAGTTGAAATGATAATGTCGAAAAGACTGGTTTGAAATGAAATAAATCCTTGATGAGAAATACAGTAGTCCAAGGGGAACAACTCTTTTCTATTTTGTTTGATTCCGCATAGCATGGTAGCCATGTGTATTGTTATCAGCATTGGATCACTAGCTATCTAAGTGATGAGAACAGTATAATTAAGAAAATAGTAAATATATTTATTGTGTCATATTGGTTTTCTTATTGGTGGCTACATTTGTATTATATCAAACTAAATTAAGTTCTTGCAACACTAATGCATGAGATCCTCTTCTCAAAAGCAGAAAAAATACTGTTTTGTAGGAAATGAAATTGCGAGCTGTATTTAAAAAAATAATCCTGCGACTGTTTTTGTCCTTGAGTGATATCCACTTATCTGTAAATGATTGATAGAAGATTGTCCACAAGCCATTCAAGTGAATTACAGAGTAGAGCCAACTGGTGAAATAAACTCATCATACAGCTGTTTCGTCCTCTTCGTCAGTGATACAAGACCCTATATAATGTTCGAACCTTGGATACAAATGAGGATAAATCAAACTGGTTTGATATTAAGTTAATTTTCACGTTTAACATTCATACATATATAATTGCTTCAAATTTATAAAAGTCGCTCTGTAATACCCTGAATATCAGAGCTGTACATAGCTACATCTGTTGAATGAATTGAGAACACTCTACAATCCTTCACTCAACGGCAACTGCAACAGCAAACTTTATAAAACGGTACAACCTGAATATATCATGAGTGCAAAATAAAATTTCTAGATGAATTAACTATGTTGTCACAAAAACAATTTCTTGGTTTTCCGATACTATAAAACCTCAAAAATAAGGCGCGACTGAATTTCTTTCATAGTAAGAAGATACAGGTTCATATTTATTAGAAACTGCAGACTTATTTTTAGGAAAGGCCTGTTGTTGAGGTTGGTTTGTTTTTAAGCTTTTAAGGTATGTCATTAATGAAAAAATGATGTAAAGGTATATCTAATTCTTTCCACAAAAGTTTCTTTGTATGAATACAGCTTTAAACTAGTTACTAGGTACGTATTAGAAAGACATGTTGTTTTGAAATATTATTTTAATGATTTTAATCAATAATAATTATCAGAACTATTTTCAACACTACCTGTACAATAAATCCTTCCGAATACCTCAAATAGGCTATCATTTTCTGTAGTTTTATTCGAATTTTACAACTCCCAAGAAGCTGGCTTTTTCGTCTCCTGATATGAGAGAAATGTTCGACACTTTGATGTATATCTGATCCCGCACCGCTAACTGGATAGCAGCCGCCATGAAGCTTGTGATGTCGCTGTGTGTCTTAACGGGGTCAAGGATCATGGTCCTCACACTCTGCATGAGTAACTGATTCCCGCCATTAGGATAGATGGCGCTGTATCGGTATACAGAGTGGTATAGGAGGATGGCAGATCTCAGGGAAGACGCGGCGACGTGCCCTGAGAAACCTATCTGACTGTAAACAAGGTAAAGGCCAGAATCCTTGATGACGAGTCTGTCAGTGGTCAGTCGAACGCCTTCGAGATGTGACGTCACATCATTTGTACGCCAGTTACGGACAAAAGCAGTGTTGGTGTCTATAAAGGTACAAAAATGATCAATGCGTTTTTAAGAAATAGTGAAATTCTCTACATTCTGGTACTACATATCTATCAAAGCATATTGCTAGTTTATGGTGTCGGTGTGTAAGCTGGCCCAGTGTTGTTGCTATGTATTGACACTTGTTTGATATTTCCATTGACCATTTCTTCGTGCTAATAATTAATATCAATATTACAAACATTGAAACAACTGTATTATAACAGTAAGACGTCTCATAATTTGATACTGCGATTATATCAAACGAACAGAATAAGATTACAATATAAGATTAATTATATAATTGTAAGATAATAATTGAAACAAGATATAGGACGTTTTGTGGGGGTACTTACCGTTGTGAAGGCCAGTGATCTGAAGTCCAGCAAGGAGGTGTGCAGATGGCAACCCGGCTGTCGGCTGAGAGAGAAGGGAACCACTACACTGTGCATCTGTATTGTTTAACCCTACAACAGTAGGACAATGGTTTTATGATACCCCAGTCTTGATGAGGGTGAGCAAGGAACCATTTAACTGTATCCTGGGGTTCACCTCCCAAAAAAAGGTAAAATAGGGAAACAATGTATGATGTGTTATGATAACATGGTTGTGATGAAGGGGAGAATGGTATCACTACCTTATATCCCAATATCTTGTGATTCCTAAATACTAGAACTAAAAGTCAGTGGTATATTTCTCATTATTAAGACGCTCTGGCTGTGATGAGGAAACTGGGAAGCTGCTCACTGTGTCAACCCTACAAGGTAGCGGAATATATTTAGTATCAACACACGTAAACTGAGGTGAGATGATGAAGTGAAACAGTGAACAGTGTACCGTACCTCATGAGTCTCCAACCCTAGAACAGCTAGACAATGGTATATATTTCGACATGGTTTTCTATTTTCCATACATAGGAACCATAGATCGGTCGATTTTACCTTCAATTTGCTCTGAATATGTTTCTTCCATTATTTGCTTAAAATGAAATGCCACCTCTCGATGTTTTAGAAGTTCCTGTAAGATATTTGTAACTTACCTTGAACGCAAGATGACTTGGAATTCACATATACCTAAAAAAGGAGAGATAAAAACATACCGTATGCAATATTATTTTAAAACTTTTGACTAATTTTAATTTAAGCATTCTTATACGATAAAGTAAAACCAAGTTATCGTCATCGTAAATCTTATAATTATCTAAAATAATGTGATTTGTATTCGTGATATACGTTAAATATGTCAAGTGTTTAGTGTAATGTTAAATCAATACAAAGTGAAAGTGGAAGAGAAGGTGCGTATTGTTGATCGTATTGTCGTTATACAATTTCTATATATTATAAACACAAATGTGTGTATGCCTCCAATAATTTTTGTCGTACCAATTTGTTTCCAGCATTAGCTTATTAGAATATAAAAATAAACAATTATATTATATCAGCAATTACACAGATTATTTTCAATATGCATAACGATATTTGGAACAAACTTTTCATAATGATAGTGATATATGAGGAGGAATCTGAATGGAATTGTCTTGTGCTAATGTGTTTTAAACAATGACACAAAGAAAAGCTGTATCAATTACAAATGATAAGAGTGAGTTAAACCAAACAGCATGTTTTCTAATCTAGATAACAAATTCCATGTTATTTGACCGACCAATACTAGAGAGTAAATATCAATTATGAAACATATCTTACCAATTCCATTAGAGCTTTGGTTTGTATGGAGTTTTTAGCACAGCAGACTTCTTCTCCATTGTCATCAAATGTCACAACCAACGAGTTGAGAGCAATTTTCTCATCTGGACCGAACCGAGAAACATTGAGGTCAGCACACTTGACACAAATTCTACGGTCGTTTGTGGTGTTCGTAAAATCCTTTACCTCACTGCGAACGCGTTCTAACTTCATAAACAGAATCACAGTACAGACGGCTAGTGCAATGCACGATACAGCCAAGAGTACTGCCACGACCGGCAGAATTTTATCACCCCATTCGGTTATTTTTTTCGACTGCATTGGCAGTAGAGAAATGTTTGATATCTTTGGTGTTGACCTGGTCAAGCTCTGGATGTTTGTGTATAATGGCTCTGCTACCTCATCGCAAGCAGCTTCAGAGGAAATGTTGATGCTTTTCATCATCACGTCTTAGATTTTCTGTGACATGAAAGAAGGATTGAGTAAATTAAAATTGTACTATAGATATTTAACGATATTAACATTGGGGGTGCACTCCAGGAGAGTTTTCCACTGTATGCATTAATCGCTCCTTCATTGGAGATATTTGCAGGGATCTTTTTTCCCTGAAAGGACTTCTTTATTTCAAGTGATGTCCTAATTACCAAGAGTGATGTCATTACTGACAACAGTTCCGTTAAATAAAACTCTAAATATTCAATTATTGTAATATAGCCCATGAATTATAGTTACTACCGCCATGCAAATACACGTATCTATCATTTTACAATTAAAAAAAGGAAAATTTGCTCTGAAATGATTCAGACTCTCTGAAATGTAAATATACACACCTATTGCATGGATACAATGACTGCAAATCATTGACAGTAAGACCATTGTTTTCATAGTACACATCGTTGTATATTTTGTTCGTTCTTGAGCAGAATTGACCGCAGAGGATACAAATGTAGTTATTTAATTTTCTGAGTCAAATTAAGATCTGTACATCAAGAAATGAGGAACAGACATAACATGACATTGACATTTCATGTTTAGCATGTTGATTAAACTCATAAATATTGTGTGACTCAACAAGCAATGATCAATATTTGATTCTATCCTACAAACAAATGTTTATAATATGGAAGCAGTCATGACACTTGTCTCTCCATCGTCCATGTATTACTGTGATAAGAGGGACGATGAATAAATCTAAACCTGGGCGTGCCTTAGAACAGTTAATATCGTGATTGGGGTGAATTAGCTCTAATTTTTACATCAAGTACTATATACATTTTATCTTTAACAATCACAGATAAATTAGGTAGGATACGCCATAATTAAGCATAATTGTAAGTACTTGGGGGAAACATGAATAGTACAAAAACATGGGTACTCTTTCTATAAACTTACCATGTTAGTTGTGACGCTGCTGATCACCAAGTGAATGTGCTTTTAGATTGTATAAACACATTTACGGTATGACATACTTCGGTGAAACATATTTAGGTAATATGTCTACTTTTCCTTTCATTTTCTCGGACTTGATTATTGTAAATCGTTTAAAATAGCAACATAATGTTCTAAAACGGTCGTATCTGGTAGGACTTATGCATGTGTTTTTAGCAAATATGTGTTTAGTGTTATTATGTAACACATTTGTTGTTGTTGGCGACCTTGGGAACCAATCAATTCCAATAGTACACTCATTTCCCGTCTCCATAAGACTGGCTAAAACATTTAAAACTGTTTCAATACATCAACCTCGTTTTGATAAAAATCTTTAAGCCCGCCCATTTCGGAAAGAAAATCTGAGCCCTGGACTAAATTTCTTCACCAAATATGTCTTATTTGTTACGGGAATGTTTCCTTCATATTTACCTTGATAGGTAATTACTACTTATCTTATAGATACAAATTATACATTTATTGTTATATTTAGATGTCATAGTCAGCTCTATAAAATACTAACAAAATTCTTTATGCTCGTTTCGTTATCCTGGATTTTCAGCAAATGCTCAAATGATCGATCGATATTGTAAACATCACGTGACGTCCGCATTCTGTTTCTAAATAGGGCTGGTATTTTCTGAAAACAGCCTGCTTTCAGAATACATGCGATACCCTCGGTGCTTTAGTAGATTACTCTTCCTGTTGTTTGGCTTTATATGATCAATTGAATACTTTGTATTGTTATGTAAGTGGCTAAATTGTAAGATGTTCTCATTTCATAAAAAAAATGTATATTCACAAGTGAAGACATTGCTTTTGGATAATATAATTCACCGTCATTGTGAAAGCGAAACAAGACATGATTTCTCGGAAAATAGAATACACACAAGTCGGTTTCCTGAAGACCTCTTCAGTTTCTTGGTCGATTGCCAGTGCCACGTGACATTTATGGATACACCGGTGTATTGTTTATACAGGTAGCATGTGTATCTGTATTGCTGATGCCATCATTTAATGGTGTATAATATTCTGTTAAAACATATCAATACCTTGGAATACAAACCGAAAGTAGAGCTGTCTTTATTCTGAGAATCGTATACCTGTCCTGACATATACGTGGCTTATAGATGCGGACACATTTAAAGAATGATTGGAATATAGAACTAAGAACCTACATATAAAGATGGGGAGGAGTTTAGGAACTGAGCACATGCGACCATCAGAATTAAGGTTTACACATGACAGTGTGAGCTGCAAATTTTCTGATGGGCACACTCTTGATGAAACATTTCGACAATTACTGAATGACGAGGTCCGGATCGTCAGAGGTGAGATACCACCATTGGTTGCCATGAATTACTGTGGACATTGGTTTGTTGTCAGAGGTAACCGCAGACTTTATCTTCTTCAAAAACTAGAAGAGATCGGGAAATTGCAAAGAGTTCAAGTAGTTAAACGTGAATTTGAAGAAAATGTGTTTAATAAACAATTTTCAACAAAGAATATGGGACATTCTATTCGGATACGAGGCGACCCATTTATAGAGGAAAAACTACGTCGATGTATCAATGACTGGAGGCAGCCAAGAATACGCCCCTCCAGCAGCGCTTCGATGCACATGTACAGGTCAGACAGAAGTTCCTTCTATTCCACAGCGGATTATAGCCCCCCTTTGAGAGCCTCATCCGTCAGAAGCTATACACCGCCACCCAGGCCTCCCTCCCCGGAACAAAGTAAGTAACGTTTATTATCCTAGGTTCTTTACGTCAGTTAATCATATTTAACATGCATTGTAATTTTCAGTATAATGTAAATTCATAAAGACATAAATGATTTTCCGATCTGTCTCAATCTTGCCTATTCTCATTTTTATGATTTTAAAGCACAGTCATGTGTACAAAATGCGTAGTAGTCGGTACACAGGACATAGTTTGACCCGGAGTTTTCATATTTCTTAAAGCGACAAATGGTCAACTTAATGTCCAAATGTATCCGATGGAATTTTTATTATCTGTCATGAGAATAAACTCTACTTGTTTTTCTAAATATATGACTGCGGTTTGCAACACGTTTAACTCATTATTTTTCTCTTATTTCTACCTGTGTAATACTAATTTGTCCAGGCCAATGCATCCAGGTTCGCTATTCTTGTATTACACATGTATCCATTCATACAATACAGGCACGTTCGCGTATAAATGTGACGCGTCGCTTCCCTTTACTGACGTTATCGTGTGATACAAAACATACTATGTAATTAAACAGTGACTGTTTATATAGTTTTAATTTGATAGCCAAATCTAGTTACGGAGACATCACTTCCATATTTAAAAAAATTATTTAATAAAAATATGATTTTCATGTAATATGATGTCCTTGGTCGTACATTGCGGACGTCTGAAGCTGATATTTTCCCCCAAAATTTTAGAATAAGAAATGAGAGAGAAAAAAACTTTCATATGGGACATTTCACCCTCGAGGTCACAAAATGTGACAAATCCCTCGGCCTAACCTTAAGGTTTACGACATTTTGTGGCCTGTTGGATGGAATATCCTTATACTAAACCCACACACATGAAAAGGTCTTATAATACTGAACAATGCTCCTTCCTCTCTCAAAGTGGGTGTCCAACCTGGGAAAGACTAATGATGATCCGTCAACATTATTGTGATTAAATTGAGACCAATATACCACTGTTATATTAGATATACCAATATGTTAACACAGCCGTATGTGTTGTTTGTTCTAGATAATTCCTGGTGCGTCATACTTTAAAAGGAATGGTGTTGCTGTGATTTCTACTCCAATGATCCGGTGTCAGACCCACACTTTTGTTATGTGAGAGGCATACAGGGTTATGTTTATCTTTTAATACTTTTGATATGTATCATTTCGTGTAGAAAACATTTACCACATCGGACAAGTTGACGTTTTAGAAAGAATCGCCTTAGAATTGTCTTATTTTTATAGTTGATTTTCATTATATAGATGTACATAAAACATATTGGTTGTATTTAATGCAGTAAACAGCACTTCGCTAAATACCTTAGTGGTATTTAAACAATGTAACTGACCAAATCATGCAGTAAATATACATGATAGTTAATTAGTTCTGATAAGCCATAGTAGGAGGATTTCATGGGCTACAAACAATAACTCTTACAGTAACAATAGGAGACAATGAGTGAGAAATGAAGATACCTGACTGTTAATTACAGTAAAACTTCGATGTGTCGAAGTTCAAGGGACCGTTGAGAAAACTTCGACACATCGGGACTTCGACTCATGAATGGTGACCGTCCAACCACAAAAAATACACCTGATGTGTATTGTGTCCGTTTGTCTTATATGCAGAGTCCCTTATCAATCAATATCTCGTGTTGATCGCTCGCATAATCTATCAAACATCGGAGAAAGGAAAAGAATTCATATGTACAATTTACATTACATATCTTAGCACTACATCGCATGTTTTTACAATGCGTTAATTTCCACTAACAACACTGGTTGAGAGAATATAGCATGTCCTTTTTTGATACTTTTAAAAGTAGCGGTTACTCTTATATAGCAAAACCAGTCTATGAAATTGACCCACTACGTTACAGATGTAGTATTAGAGGTGTTGGTATTCTGTACAAAGACAAATCGCTAATTGTTCAAGAAATCCCCGTGGATAGTCCGAGAGTTATTGGAAGTGAGATTCAAACTCAGAATGGGGAGCATATATATTGTTTTCTGGCTTATATGCCAGCCTCCTCGAGACCTATTGAAATGTTCACTGACCACATAGACCTATTAGAATCGCTTGTCTCTGTTTATTCGGAACAAGGACTAGTGATAGTTATAGGTGACTTAAATGTTAAAATTAAGGGTCCCCGGTACCAATTTAAAGATGACGAGAGATCCACAATTTTCCGATCATTTTTAGATAGAATGAACCTACTGTCTGCCAACGTACAATCAGACTGCAAGGGACCTGTTTATACATTTTGGCCTCAGACGGGTAACTGTACTTGTACTGACCATGTTCTTGTCCAGTCAAATAAGATTGACTTAGTTGATTCATGTGAAGTACTAGATGATGAAGCTTTGAATGTGTCTGAGCACAGCCCTATTGTATGTTCTATAAAGGTCTCACCGTTGCTATATCGGTGTAATGCATCAAATACATCAAATTTTGTGAAATATAACTGGAAAAAAGTCCTGCATAACGGTAATATTAATAATTATATGCTGGAGTTGGGAAATAATTTAAAGTTAATAGAATTGCCTGCCGGACAAATGTCTAACGAATGCATAGACCAGTTCTCCAAAGATATTGTTTCAGCTATATTGCAATCCTCCAACTCTACCTTGCCTATAAAAAAGTACAAAAGCTATTTAAAACCATATTGGTCTAAAGAATTGTCAGAAATGTACACTTCGGTGCAAATTAAAAGGCAAAAATGGCTAAATGAAGGAAAACCTAGAAATTTCTCTCATAGTTTTCTGCAGTATAAAGAGAGCAAAACTTCTTTCAGAAGAAAACTTCGTGATGCATTTAATAGGTATATGTCTGAACAATTTAATGAAATAGAAAAATCCAGTGAACTTGACCAGAATTCATTCTGGCATTTATACAAAGGTAAATCTTGTAAAAGCAAAACACTTCAGACTGAAATGAAATACAACAATGTAATTTTACGAGACCCCAAAAAATATCGTCGAAGCGTGGGCGACACATTTCGAAAATTTGTTCCATGATAAACCGAATGAAGAATTGGACAACACGTTCCAAAGAGAAATCATAAACCGCGTGAACGAAATTGAAAAGAAAGTTCATAATGAGGTAGACATATACCTGAACGAATGCATTACCACTTCAGAAATTGCCTTGGTGTCTAGAGGTCTCAAATCTAAAAAAAGCAGGAGGGAGGGACGGTATAGTATACGAACACATTAAACATGGTGGAACAGTACTTTTTGAATATATCGCCACCTTATTTAATAATGTCATAAAAAACGAATACATTCCAAAAGACTGGAAAAAAGGCATTATTATAACATTGTATAAAGGTCAAGGTAAAAAGAAAGAAGACCCCAACAGCTACAGGGGGATCACATTATTACCTGTATTTTTTAAAATGTTTGAAATGGTTTTAGCACAAAGAATCCAACGAGTTTTAAATTCCCGTGTATTTCCAAATAGACAACAGTCTGCCTATCAAAAAGATTTGTGTAGTCTATGCACATCATTCAGTCTTCAAGAATGTATAAGTCACAATATTGAATATGGTTCCAACGTCCATGTTGCTTTCTTAGATAGTAACAAAGTGTTCGACACTGTGTGGCACGCTGGACAATTGTACAAAATTTATGAATTAGGATTAAATGCGAAGACGTGGATTTTACTAAAATGTATGTATACAAATGTTGAAAGTTGTGTTTTATTCAATGGGTTAAAATCCTCCATGCTCAAAATGGAACGTGGAATATTACAGGGAGGGGCATTGTCTGCCAAAATGTACCTAGTATTTATTAACGATTTACTAAATGAAATAGAGAATTCTGGCCCAGGAGCAGTAATTGTTGATTTAAATGTTAATGTTCCTACTCAAGCAGACGACATCTGTTTGGTCAGTACGAGTCTTAGAAGTCTTCAGAAAATGATAGTAAAAGATGGCGTTTTTCATTCTCTGCTGTAAAAAGCAAAATTGTTACCTTCACAAACCCAAATAGTAGAACTTGCACTGTGTATAATGAGCTTTATCTGTACAATTGTATTATACCACAGACTAATGGCATTACACATGTTGGTATCTTATTAAACTGTAAACAGAACTCATTCGAGAGAACAGCACGTGCATGTAATAAGTTAAGATCGGGTACGATGTCCCTTGTCCGTTCTGGTGCACATCCTTGTGCTCTAAACCATTTAACAGTGGCGAAGCTTATCAAAATTAAAGTTTATCCATCAGCCTTATACGGATGTGAGCTTTGGCAATTGACAACAACCGAAATAATAATGCTAGAAAGGGCGCAACATTTTATTGTTAAATCTATTCAAGGGTTTGAAAAGAGAACCAGAACAGATATGTGTACATCTTTACTTGGTTGGACCTCTATCGAAGCATATATAGACATTAGAAAGTTGTTATTTTTTGGAAGATTGTGTAGATTGAAAACAATGTCTTCTGTTTATAAAGTTTTCATTACCAGACTATTTTTGTTTCGACTAGGTAGACCATACCAGATCGGTTTCATCCCAGACATAGTCAAAATATTAAAAAAGTATTCACTGCTTCAAAATCTAGATACTTTTGTAGAAACTGGAATTTTTCGAAAGAAAAGCCATTGGAAAACAACAGTATATAATGCTGTAATGAAATATGAAGAATACAATCTAAAGGAACGTATGAAGTTTGATGATGATTTTACAAGGTTTAGAGAAATACATAACCAACCCAAACCTAGTATTTTATGGAAGTTAGCACTTCGATTTCCTCAATACAGAAAATATATACATTACATAATGAAAATAGTGGTAACCATTCGTAGCTTGACTACCATGGAATTATGTCACAAATGTGGGTTTCTATATCAAGACCCTATGACACATCCAGTGCTACAGTGTATTTATACTTCCGAGTTGAGGGACCAACTGTGGTGCTGTATAATTAATACCACTGATATTCTGTTTAGTGTTTATTTACACTCTCTCCCAGACCTTCAGTTATTACATATATTGATTGG